TATTCATCTGATGCTAGTTCCTGGTGCGGTTCAAACAGAAAAGCGCCTCATAGAGCTTCAACTCTCGTGGAGATTACAGATTAGCCTTAGCTTACGGGCCCTCGTAGTTCGTTGGTTAGTTCTTTTTTTCTTTTCATAAAGTAAGGTACGAAGTCTCTGATAAGTGGCAATTTTCCGTTCCAATTCTTTCCATATTATGATCTACGTTTGGAAGTTTTCAGAAAAACTTACATTATTCCACTTTCGGATTCTATTCTCACCGTCCGTTTATCAATTGAGAGGGAGATCAGTAATAGGTCTGTCGGGGGCCTGCCAACTGCTGAATTCCCCTAAACGGAGGGAACATCATGTAATCCGAACAGTTTGTCCCCTACCCCCCCCTCCCCCCGATATACATGTTCGGCTGTTTATGGCCCGAAGAAAACAGTGTGGTCTACTAAAGGACCAGATACTGGCTGTAAGTCCTTTTAAACTATTGCCGAAATGCATTTTTGAGGGAGGCGGGAAAAATGCAATTGACGTTTCAGATGAGCACTTTTAGCTCCTTGGAAGAAATTCCGTGATTTTTTAAACTTAATGCGGCTTTCCTGACTTTTCGCTATCAAAAACCGATTCGCATTGCGTTCTTAGTAAAAATTTACTTAATAAATTTATCAACCGCAGTCCTTTTTTCCTTTAAAGCATCAATGTTGAAGTTCTCTGCTCGCCGCCCAACGTCAAGAATTACCTTGGCGCCATTCACTGTCCAATTTTCCTAAAACATGGTAAGTTTCATGTGCGATCACGACTAGCTTTATGGCAAAGGTAATTTACCCTTAGGTTGAAAGTTTTCAAGCGGTAGATAGATGCAATTGCGGACAGTACATTTGTTGGTCCTAAACTGATTGGTCCATTCGGCTGTAAGATAGGATTAACAAATATCCAAATTTGAAGATTGCGTAAGTAGCAAAATTTAATGGAACCATTAGTTTCGCGAGCGCTCATCAGCGGTGCTACCGGTGCATACGGAATGACGCTGCCTGAGCAACAGAACCACCGGTTTATTGGCTGAAGCTTTTAACCTTGCAGAGGAGATTAAACCAGATAGTTTCATCGAACCTGGTATTCGCAGGATGTGAGCGCCA